GCGTCACCCGTCGCGAGTTGCTGGCGATTGTTTTTTTTGTGCAGCAGTTTAGACCGTATCTCTATGGCCGTCACTTTACGGTCCAGACGGACCACGCGGCGCTTCAGTATTCATTGAGGGTCGCCCAGCCCTCGGGCCAATTGTCACGGTGGTTGGAAGTCCTCCAGGACTATCAGTTCACGACCACATACCGTAAGGGGTTGCGCCACACTAACGCCGATGCCCTGTCGCGATTGTCGCCTTGTCACAAATGTGCGTGCTTGTTGGGATCGGCGCACTGTAAACCGCCAGCTGCTACCCCGGATGCACCGATCGGTGATGTTCCCGCTACCCCTGTGGGAGAGGACTCGCTGCTCTCACTGTCGCTGATTGAGTGGGGCCGTCTCCAAATGGCTGACAGCTCCCTGCTAGCGTTGCGTCGCAGGGCGGGGGGTCCCGAGGAGGGCCGGGAACGAACTGGTTCCTGGGTACTCAGGCAGGGCCTGTTAATGAGATGGGACAATTTGTCTCGGCGCCACGCACTCGTGGTGCCTTCCGTTGTGCGGGGGAAAGTTGTCCTGGCCGCGCATGAACGCCTCTTGCATTTGGGGGTAAACAAAACGCTTGCTCTGCTTCAGCGTGACTATTATTGGCCAGGGATAGGAAGTGATGTGGTGAATATCCTAAAGGGGTGTGTTGAGTGCGCCAGACGAAAACCACCGCCAGTGGCGTCAAATCCACCACTGCAATCTATTCAGGTCTCGCGCACTAACGAGCTCGTGGCGCTCGATATTTTGGGGCCTTTTACAGTCACGCCTAGGGGTAACAAGTACCTGTTGGTTGGTGTAGAATACTTTACCCGGTGGCCTATGGCGTGGCCACTCGCCAACCAGTCGGCGGCAGCTGTGACGGACGCCTTTGTCCAGGGCTATGTTCTGGACAAAGGGGCTCCCGAACGCTTGCTGACCGACCAAGGGAAAACATTTTCAAGTAAATTGTTGCAAGAGGTGTGCGACCTATTGGGTACTAAGAAGGTGCGTACCTCCCCGTACCACCCACAGACAGACAGGATGGTGGAGCGACTCCACAGGACTTTGAATTCTATGCTGTGCCAGCAGGTGTGTGAGGCACATGTTGACTGGGACCTGCAGGTCCCTGGGGTCCTCGCCGCGTATAGAATGGCCCCCCATGCAGCAACGGGATTTTCCCCATTCTATCTGATGTATGGTCGGGAAGCCGACCCGCCCATGGAAACGCAGCTGGGACTGTCCACGCCACGAACGAATTCGAAATTGGCTGAACATATTAAATTTAACATTCATAAGCTGACCGAGGCACGGGAGGCCGCACGGCTTAATTCGCGGGCTCGCCAAATTGCCAACGAGCGTTTGCGTGCACGGAAGGTGCCCGTGCACAACTGGAAACCAGGCGACAGGGCCTGGCTGCACTGCCCTCAGGCACCTTTGGCTACGTCGCCTAAATTGTTGAGGCCATGGCGGGGACCCGTGGAGGTCGTGCGGGTTGCACGCCCCCAGTGTGTTCAGATAAAATGGGGAAAGCGCCGTTGGTACGTTCACCCCTCCCGACTGAAACCGTTCTCGCCTCCATATGGCCTCCCTTTGTGTCATGAGGGCCGAGCATGTGACGTGACCGACGACCTAAGGGGGGAATTGTCTCCGCCTGATCCTCACATGTCTCCGCCTGATCCGCTCCCAGGTGTCCCGGAACTGACAGCTGCCGACCACCGGCGGCTGGATCCCCGCGGCGCGACCGGTCCTTCCAGGCATGATCCGCGCCTTCCAGGGCTGCCGGAGCCACCAGACGGTCGTCAGCGTCCCGTCCCATACGATGGACCGGCCAGGCGGACTCGCGCTCAGTCGCGCAACTTTTCGTGACCAACCGGCTGAGGAGCCGAAGCGGCCGGAGAACCTTGTCACTGCGTTCCCCGTCCGCTCGGCCGCTCGAGCACCCCGGTGGGGGAGCGAGCGGGAGGGGGGGGGGGGATCGATAGTCTCAGAGACACTGGACACGTTTTTTTTCTCGGACTTGCTTTTATTGCATTGTTCGTCGGTTTGTACGTAACTTGTTGTCTAGGTGTTGTGTGTTGTTGTTGTTGTTTTTTGCGTGTTGTTGTCGGTTTGTACATAGGTTGTTGTTGGTGTTATGTCGTTGTGTTGTTGTTGTTGTGTTACGGGGCACACTGGGGGGGGTTGGGTTTTTGTTGTGTTACTATTGTTGTTGTTGTTGTGTTGTTTAGCAGCCGGGCCGGCTGCGAGCTATGTGGGAGGGGGTGATGTAGTGGTGATACGCGCTGACAGTGGGGATCGTGGGGCAGCGCGTGGTGATTGGCTGTGTGCCCGTGACGCGCGCTGACGGTGAGGGATCACAGGGCAGCGCGGGGTCATGGGTTATGTGGTGGTGATTGGCTGTGTGTTGGTGACGTGCGCTGACAGGGAGTGATCGTGTGGCAGCGCGGGGCGATTGGTTGTGTAGTGGTAACACGCGCTGGGAAAACGGATCGTAGGAATAGCGCGCCGTGATTGGTCGACTAGTGGGCGCTCACATCGCGGTCCGCAAGAGGGCTAAATTAGGCGGTGCGCGCGGGCGCTCGGGGAGTTGGTGACCAGCGAAGATTGAAGACGGCGGAGGAAGAGATAGGGCCCTGCGGTACCTAGTCCCGCTGTCCTTGTAAGGACCGGGGCTCTGTGTGACCCAGAGGCGGGACCCTGGGACCCGGGGCCGAACGTCCGTGTGAGGGCCGGCTCTCGGGACCCAGAGGTTGTGACCCACGCCCAAGCTGGTGTGGGTCTGTAGGCTCCACGGACGTTACGGGGCTGGAGTGTAGTGTGAGCATGCAGCGTGAGCCATAGTCACTACACGTGTCAGTGAAGTGTGTAGTGGGAGAGGTAGTGACCACACGTGTCAGTGAAGTGTGTGTAGTGTGAAGAATAGTGACCACACGGTGTATCGAGAAAAGTCAAAGTTTAATAAAAAGTGTGCTACCCGTCAAGAGGTTTCCTGCCGTCATTCTGAATACTTCACAGATACAATGGGAGGCTGATCGATGCCCGGGTGCGGTCGAGGAATGACTCCCAATTGGTCAACCATTTTATTTATGCTGATTATCTGGTGATTGCTGCTCACTCAGAGGAGGAGTTGGAGGTGCTGCTACTGAACATGTAGCGTGGCACTAAGAGGTGGGGTCTTACCATCACCCCCACCAAAACTAAGCACTTGCCTTGTTATTTTGTTTCATCAAACACTCCACCCCCTCAACTTACCCATTGGTGATGGAGCAGTTTGTGGATAGAATGGAGAGTTGTCCAAAAGTGGGTCATGTGCTTATAACCAGCTCTGATTTGACAGCAGAGGTCTCACTCTGAATCCGTCGGGCAGCATTATATTTTCATTGGCTGTCATGTGGAAGCTACCTGGTCTGCCACTCCATACGAGCTTCGGTTCTTCACGGCCACAGTTATGCCCTCCCTTAATCTGCGCCGGTTATAAATATTCAAGCTGGCCTGCCTACAATCCATCCTGGGTTTAACAAACCTGGATTGTGTGAGGAGCTTACACATCCTTGAAAGATCTGGACACATCCCCATCAGTGAGCTCCTCCTGCAGGCAAGGCTGCATCACCTGGGTCATGTAGCCTGTATGCCCAGCCACCGCATGCCCAAGCAGCTTCTGTTTGACCGGATAGAGGGGGCTAAACGCGCACAACACGGGCTGGAGAAGAGATGGACTGATACGGTATGGAAGGATGTTTAGCGGAGTGGACTTGTCGAAGACTGGTATCAGAGGTGTCAAGATCAGCCTCTATGGAGGAGGCTCGTAAAGGATGCTGCTACTGGGCAGTTGGAGGCAGTCGCCCTCCAACAACAACATAGGGCAGAGGAGTGATACTCACATAAAACGAACGGAGCGCTGGGTGGCTAAAATGCAGCAAGTTGCACAATTGGGTCACAGTTGGTGCATTTGCCTGTCAGTCAACCCATGGCACTGGGTCTGTCCTAAGATCTTCTGTCAACAAGCCTTTGACACTTCTGGCACATATGCCGCGGTGACATCACCATCACGTCGTGGCGAACGGCGGTTGTTGGTTATTGATGTGTCTTGTGAAAAAGCAAAATTGGCTGATTTTCCGGGTGGCCACGACTCAGCAGCATTTTCACACAATTAGGGGAACACCACTACCACCGCCACCAAAGGCAAATATCCCCTGTGTACCCGTAACAGGATGCAGAGGCAAGTGCTCTTAGCGAATAGCAGCACCGATAAAGTGCGGCACGGCACATGAAGGGGTGGGTGGCCAGCACCACGCATGCCTGGTCACCTTTTTCTCCCTCGTGGCGATATTTACACATCACACCAGGTACGCATTTGAGGTTGAGACGACCTAGGAGAGGGGTCCAAGACTAGTTCAGATAATCCTCACCAATGTTGACTGGGAATTGAACCCGGGTTGCTGGGTTAATTCCACACCACCACTACCACAACCACCAGCACTGTCACCAACACGCGCTCTCTCTTTCTCCCTTCACCTTCTCTCTCTTTTGCTCTCGCCAACCCTTCACTCTCCCCGTGGTTACTGTCTCTCCTCACTCGGTATATTACCCCCCCTCCTGGCCCTCTCCCTGCTTTCCCCCTGTCTCTCCTCCCTCCCTCCCCCTCCTGCTGCTCGGCGCCGATGAAAGCCTCAAGGCTCAGAGGAGCGAATCGATGCGGCCAGAGGGCCTTCTTTGTTATGGTGTAGGCGGAATGTATTGGCGGACGGACGACGACACGCAGAGAGACAAATACGCAGACACACAAACATGCGGTGTGAGTGGCGAGCGTGTGTAGGTTTGTTGAACTTATTTCACTCCCTACGTGAGTGAGTGGTGAGTGGGTGGTGAGTGGGTGGTGAGTGTATCCACGTTGCGGTTCAGGACGATGTAGATCACCGGGTTGTGAGTGGTGAATGACCGGTGAGTGGGTGGTGAGTGAGTGGTAAGTGAGTGAGTGGTGAGGGTACCCACGTTGCGGTTCAGGATGATGTAGATCACCGGGTTGTAGGCGGTGCTCGACTTGGCTGCGTACAGTGGCACCGTGGCGAGGAGCGGGCTCAGCTGGGAGTAACACAGGCACGTGTGTGTCACTCTGTGTGTCACTGTGTGTATCACTGTGTGTCACTGGGTGTGTCACTGTGTCTGGCAAAAGAACCCCCCACCTCCTCTTTGGTGCAGGACAGTAACGCTGTGGTGATCAGTGCCATGGGGGGAGGACCAATTTCAATTGGCCATTCCCCTAATGGTATTTGCAGCCACCACCGGGGCCAAATGGGGGCTCTAAATAGGTGCGAGGGGCTGGTAACCCCTCCACCTTCAAATAAATTACCACTAAACGATGGCAAAAAATATCAAACCAAGCTTGTGCAGGAGGCCCCGGGGGGAGACAGACGTCTATGACGTCTCCTGGCCAAACCCCATTTGGGGAAGCCAGGAGATTGAATTCTTACCCTCGGAGTTCCTACAGAAACAGCAAAAATCCACTGTGGGTGGTCAAGTGGAATATTCTAACGCTCACTGCGGAAGAGAGGCTGCCACTCCTCTGTCGTGAGCTGGACCGGAACCGTCTGGATTTCTGCGGTATTCAGGAGGTCTGGTGGACTGGCGCTGGCTCCTTCCACAACGAGGGTTGGACAGTCCTCTACTCAGGGCAGGAGACTGCCAAACAACAGGGAGTAGTTTTTCTTCTGAACAAAAGAATGAAGGGGGCGTGGGAGCGTGCCAGTGAGGTGTGAGAAGCTGTAAGCCCCAGGCTACGTTGGGCTCGTCTTCCCATCAACCAGAGGTGAGGAATGGTGGTCGTGGTTACTTATGTCCCCACCAAAGATGAACATCCGTGGAGGGATGCAGGCAAGGCCGATGAGTCAGATGCCTTCCATGACCTCCTGTAACAGGTGCTAGCTAAAGTGGCCCCTCCGGATAGAGTCATCTTTTTGGGTAACTTTAATGCCTGAGTTGGTCATGATGCTGGCACCTGGTCTGAAGTGATTGTAAGGCATAGGCGAGATCAGCTCAACAACAACGGTAAGAGGATGCTAGACTTTTGTGCAGCCCATGGGCTTGTAATTACCAACACGCTGTTCCAGCATCGGCGCATCCACACAACATTAGGGATGCATGCCGGGTCCAACCAAGAACATCTGCTGGACTATATAGTGATGGAACAGCGGATGAGGGCCCATGTCTTTGAGATCAGGACCTACTGTGGAGCTGATCTGCCCACGGACCACACCTATTACTATCATTAGGGGAAAGAATGGGGATCCAATCTCCGACCCCCAGGAACAAGTTTGCAGATTAGCTGAGCATTTCTGTGAGGTCTTGAGGGAGGGAAAATCCCTCAGCCTGGAAAACATCATGGAGAAGGAGATTAACCTGCTGAGGTTGCGGTGCCTCAGATATTGTAAGTAGTCACCCCCTGTGAGTGGATGGCTGAGGTGCCAACTTTTTAGGAAGTACTGAAGGTGATCCAAAGTTTGAGACTAGGAAAGGCACTGGGAAAAGATGATTTCCCAAGCGAAATACTGAGGGAGGGTGGCGTTTGTGCACAAACTGCCCTACATAACAACATAATAACAGTCTGGACCACTGCACGGGTTCCACATGTTTTAAAGGATGCTCTGGTGGTCCCCCTCTTCAAGGAGGGGTACCGCAAAGACTGTAACAACTACAGGGGCATTTCACTCCTCAGTGTGCCGGGAAAGGTCCTGGCAAGGATGATTCAACATCGCCTTGCCAGGCATGCTGAGGAGAGGCTGGCGGAGCCCCAATGTGGTTTCAGGAAAGGATGGTCCTGCACAAATGTCATATTTTCTATCCGACTGTTACAGCAGAGGTGTAGGGAATTCCAACAAGACCTACATCTCTGCTCATTGACCTGGTCAAGGCCTATGATACCATCAGTAGGCCTGGGCTCTGGGTTGTTCATCGTGCTTTCGGAGCCCCTGACTCTCTGATCATGATCATTAAGGACCTTCATATTGGTGAGTGGGCCTGGGTAAAACTATGTGGCAGGGAGTTGGAGCCATTCCTTGTTCATCTTGTGGTGCAATAGGGATGTCCTCTGGCTCGGACATTATTTAACATCTATTTTGACCACGTAGTTCATGAATCCTTCGATGGCTGTACCGGAGGAATTTCCATCTGGTACAGATACAATGGGAGGTTGATCGATGCCTAGGTGCGGTCAAGGGATGGCTCCCTATTGGTCAACCATGTTACGTATGCCGATGATCTGGTAATTGCTGCTCAATCAGCGGAGGAGTTGGAAGCACTGATGCTGAATCTGGAGTGTGCCACTAAGAGTTGGGACCTTACCGTCAGCCCCACCAAAACTAAGCACTTGCCTGGGTATTTTGTACCATCGGACACTCCATGCTCAACTCCCAATTGGAGTGGGGTGGTTGTAGAGAGAGTGGAGAGTTTCTCATGCCTGGGCAGTGTGCTCATGACTGGCTCAGGTTTGACAGCAGAAGTCTCACTCTGAATCAGTCGAGCCGCATGATTTTTTCATCGGTTGCGTAATGCTATGAGGAAGCTACCTGGTCTGTCACTCCACACGAAGCTTCAGGTTTTCTTGGCCACAGTTATGCACTCCCTTCTCTATGCTTGCGAAACATGGCCCGCCCTAATGGAACATCTTCGCCAGTTAGAAACATTTAGGCTGGCCTGCCTATGATCCATCCTGGGTTGAACCAGGCTGGATTGTGTGAGGAGCTCACACATCCTTGAAAGATCTGGACAAAGTCCCATCAGTGAGCTCCTCCGGGAGGCAAGGGTGCATTGGCTGGGTCAGGTAGCCTACATGCCCAGCCACCGCATGCCTAAACAACCTTTGTTCGGCCAGATAGAAGGGCTAAACGGGCACGGCATGGGCTAGAGAAGATATGGAGTGATGTGGTTAGTTTTGATGGGGCTGATGGTCAGTGGGCAGATCAGCTCCACGGTAGGTCCTGGTGTCAAGGACATGGGCCCGCATCCACTGTTCCATCACTATATAGTCCAGCAGATGTTCTTGCTTGGACCTGCCTGCATCCATAATGTTGTGTGGATGCGTCGACGCCGGAACAGCGCGTTGGTAATTACAAGCCCATGGGCTGCACAAACGTCTAGCAGCCTCCTACTGTTGTTATTGAGCTGGTCTGGCCCATGCCTTCCAATCACTCCAGACCAGGTTCCAGCATCATGACCAATTCAGGCATTAAAGTCACCCAACAGGATGACTCTATCCCGAGGGGCCACTTTAGTCTATCCATGTCATTGTTTATCTGTGTCGTTGTCTATCCATGTCATTGTCTATCCGTGCCGGTTGTTTCCGGCCGCATGGCGAGTTTGGTCCTCCTCACCTGCTCCTCACCTACAACCCTCCTCACCTCCTCCTCACCTCCAGGCCTCCTCACCTCCAACCCTCTCTACCTCTTCCTTACCTCCAACCCTCCTCACCTCCTCCCCTCCTCGCTCCCAACCCCTGCTCAATTCGCACCTCTTGACGGCCGTCACCCCCCCCCCCGTCACCTTGAGTCCCGGCGTGACGGCCACGGCGATGGAGCAGGCTGCATAAGGGGTCCACGAGATGAGGAACGCGAGCACCATGAGCACCACCATGATGCCCACCTGGCGCTCGGCGCGCTGGCTCGCACCGCCACTCAGCTTCGGGGCCTACGGTGTCATGGCAGCAACATACAAGAACAATAATATCAATACCAATAACAATGAGAACAATAATAACAGCAATAACAATGCTAACAATAATAACAATAACAGCAATAACAATACGAACATTAATAACAATAACAACAATAACACCAATTATAATATCAACAATAAAACAATAACAATAATAACAACTAGAATAACAATAACAGGGTATTTCCATCCCGTGCACCTCGTGGCTTCTGCGTGGCCACCCCTCTAAATCACTGCCATCCATAGATCTCCCTCTCTCTCTCTGTAATTAAGGTAGTGGTGGCTACGCTGCAAGTGGCCAGTCATCCAGCACTTGTGGAGGCAGAAAACGACGGTTGGTGGATCACACAAAGAGTGTTGCCAAATTCCCATCCTGTGGACGAACATCGGGGAGGAGCCATAACACTTGCTCAAAAGTAAGTGGCACAGCAATGCGTAGACTCCGCCTGTCCCAATCAGAACGGGATACAGTGTCGCCCCCCCCCCCCCCAATCAGAGAACTCGGCATTCCTCGAGTTCTCTGATTGGGGCCCCGCGGTGGTGAGATGTTAACTACCTCGCCTGGTGTACAGGATTCATGGGTTCGATCCGGACACTGACGCATGTATAATTATAGTTTGCGGTGTCTCTTTCCCCGTGACCACGTGCATTTTTATCCGGGTCCTCCGGTTTGTCCCTCCACATCTAGACAAGTGAGTTGAGTATTTGGCTATTGCTATAAATTTCACGTGACGAAAAGCCAACTTCGTTGGGCTATCATTTGTGATAGCAATGGGTTGCTTCTGAAAAAATGGCACATGGCTCCAGTGGGGCCTTACCTGGTAAAAATTAATAAAAACATTCTTTAGGTCTTTCGGTAAAAGCCACGTAGATAGAAAAATAATTTTAAAAAAATCACAATATCACGACGTTTATCGCAACACAAGCAATCGATCGCAACACAAGCAATCGTCATCAGGTGAGAGCTGCTGAAACAGGAAACAAAATATTTGCACTTTTATTGTTTTTCTATCTACGTGGCTTTACCGAAAGACCCAAAGAATAAGAATTCCTGCAGTCACGAAAGCTTGAAGTCAAGATGAAATAAAAAACAGTTTAGTTTTAATTTTAAAGGCAACACATTGGGTGGCGATAACGACTACTTTATTCGCAAATCTTGAGATGTCCTAAGGCGTCACTCCATTCAAATTTCCTGGGTGAGGGGGATCAGGAGCAGCAGCGGCAGCAGTGGTGGCGTCTCCTTGGTTGCTGCCATTGCTGGGGATGTGGCTCCGGCGCTTATCGCCTCGTTATCGGTTCGAGATGGTCATTGGGGCCTTACCTGGTAAAATAAAATAAAAGTGTTTTCCCTCCCACACCCTCATTAATTGGCTGGTAACACCTTCGAATGTAGAGATACCGCAGAGCTTGGGCAACTGTTGGTCGTGCAGGCTCCTTCACCACATGGCTGCTGCTGCTGCCTCCCCGCTCACCTGTGGCTCCGCCTAGCGCCTCTGAGTCGTCCCCTGCTCCCTGCACCCCCCTCTCTCTCTCTCTCTGAGAGATCAGATAAGCAACTGCCGTGCACGGGCAGTCCAAAGATGCTTGTTGTGTGGAGGGCGGTGCTACGATCGGAACTCACACAGGGTGGTGCACTGCTTGTCACATCCGGGGGTTAGGAAATATCAAACGGGTCTGCAGCGAGTTTGCCGCTTGTCCCAGAGGTTCACGGTGCCATGGCAAGCAGCCGCCCCTGGTTAATACTGCGGGTAGGCGGATTAATTAACTATTATAAATCACACAACCACTAACTCGCCCGCCCACTCACCCACCCACCCAATAACCCACCCAATCACTCACTCGTCCACCCACTCGCACCGCGCTGCAGGTAACAACTCTCACTTGCATACCCACTCACCCACCAACTCACCACACTGCAGGTTACAACAACACACTCACTAACCGACCCACTTAACAGCTCATTCACCCACTCAACCCATTCACCCACTCATCCATTCACCCACACAAAAACTCACCATACTACAATAACAACCGCCATTTGCCATTAATTGGCGGTGACATCACCACGACACTTCTGCAGGTTATGTGCACGAAGTGTCAAACGCCTGCTGGCAGGATGTCACGGCGCAGACCCAGGTGCCGACTGACTGAGATGATTGGCTGATGCACCACTTGTGCCAACTTGCTGTGCTTTAGCCACCGGCGCTTCACTCGTTTTTGTTATTAGCGAAGCTCCAACCCCCTCCGTTGTTGTTGGAGGGCGACTAACTACAACTGCCCAGTTGCGTCCTTCACGAGCCTCCTCCACAGAAGCCGATCTTGACACCGCTGGTCCCAGTCATCGGCAAGTCCACTCAACTCCACATCCTCCTGTACCACTTATCTCCATATTTTCTCTAGCCCGTGCCGCGCCCGTTTAGCTCCCTCTATCCGGCCGAACAAAAGCTGTTTGGGTATGCGGTGGCTGGGCATGCGGGCTACATGACCCCACTCTCTCCGCAACTGCCCCATCACCAATTGGGAGTTGTGGGGGTGGAGTGTCCGATAGTACAAAATACCCAGGCAGGTGCTTAGTTTTGGTGGGGTTGATGGTAAGGCCCCACCTCTTAGTGACAAGCTCCAGGTTCAGCAGCAGATATTTTGCACATGGTTTTGTGGAAATAAATTGAAGGTGGAGGGGTTACCAGCCCCTCGCACTTGTCCAGAGCCCCAATTTGGCCGCTGCGGTGGTTACAAATGCCATGATGGGAATGGCCAATCTAAATTGTCCCTCCCCCCGACGGCAATACCCACCACAGCGTTGCCGTCCGGCACCAACGAGGAGGTAGGCGGTTTTTGCCGGATTCACCACACTATGGTCACAACAACACACTCACTCACCTACCCACCCAACATCTCATTCACCCACTCGCTCACTCACCCACTCACCCACAAATTCACCACACTGCAGGTCACCTCTCCTCTATCCCTGCTTCTTCCCCGGCACTGCACCACTAACAGAGTACCTTCCTCCCACCACCCCCACTACCATCATCGTCGTCGTCTTTTCTCTCACCGCAAGCCAATCACGACTGTTACCTCGACGCACAATTTCAACACGCGTGTCAAGCTATGCACTAGCATTAGCCATCACACACACACAACACACACCACACCACACACACCACGCACACCACACAGACACCACACAAACACCACACACACAGCACACCACACAAACAGCACGCCACACACACCCAAAACACACCACACACAAATATAACACACCACACACACGACACACAAACCACACACACACCACACTTTCGACAGCGCCTCTTGTTGCTGGCCGCTTGGGCATTTTAAGGGCCCCTGGGGCCACTCCACCTGCGTCCACTTGCCACTGCGATGTAAAACCAAAGTGGTAACTTTGTCTCGCGAACAGCACTGAACATGATTAATTATAATTGCCATCACGATAGTATAATTAACCGGCACCCTGGCTTTATTGTGGGTTTATTTCTTTCTTTGGCAGCAATTAAAGGGAAGTGTGTGCTTAATCGGGGCTGACGTGTGAGGATGGTGATGGCCTCGGGCCATGCCCAGATTATAATGAGACCCCTTCCCCTCTACCCCGCTGTGAGTCCGCCGTCTCACAAGAACAAAACTTTCATGAGGAACGCGCCGAGTGGCACAAGTCTGGAGGGTCAATTAGAATATCAATGGGAGGGGGGGGGTCGACGAAACTGTCAGGAGCTATTACAATCACGCTCGCAATCATTTGTGACGGTTGTTGCTAAGAAATAACAAAAAAAGGTGAACGGTGTTCAAAATCAATCGCTTACCAGTTACAGATAAAGTCAGCAACCTGGTAAAATAATACACAAAATTGTAGTTCGGATTATCCACACTTTACTCCAACAACCGCCATTCACCAATAAGTGGCGGTGATGTCACCACAGCACTTGTGCCAGACTATGTGCAAGTTAAGGCCAGGTGAATTGTGGAACGCTCGCTGGCAAAAGGTTACGGGACAGAACTAGGTGCCATGGGTTGACTGAGATGACTGGCCAATGCACCAGCTGTGCCCCCTACTCTGCCAACTTGCTGTGTTTGAGCCACCTGGCGCTCTGCTCATTGTTGTGAGCGTCACTCCTCTGCCCTCCGTTGTTGTTGGAGGGCGACTGCCTTCAACTGCCCAGTAGCATCCTTTACGGGCCTCCTCTACAGAGGCCGATCTTGACACCGCTGGTACCAGTCGTCGGCAAGTTGAGCACCACATCCTTCCATACTACATCAGTCCGTCTCTTCTCCAGCCCGTGCAGTTCCCGTTAACCCCCCTCTATCTGGCTGAACAAAAGCTGTTTGGGCATGCAGTGGCTGGGCATGCGGGCTACATGACCCAGCCAACGCAGCCCTGCCTACCAGAGGAGCTCAGCAAAGGGACTGTGTCCAGATATTTCAAAGATTTGTGAGCTCCTCACACAATCCAATCAGGTTAACCTAGGCCAGCCTAGATGTTTCTAACCGGTGCTGATTTTTTATTCAAGGTGGCCACGTTTTGCAAGCACGGAGAAGGGAGGGCATGACCGTGGCCAAGAAGACCCGAAGCTTTGCGTGGGACGACCAGGTAGGTTCCACATGGCATTACGCAGCCGATGAAAAGACAATCCCGCTCAACTAATTCGGAGCGAGACCAAAGCTGTCATACCGGCGCTCGTCATAAGTACACTGCCCAGATATGGAAACTTCTCCACTCTCTCCACAACTGCCCCATCACCAATTGGTAGTTGAGGGGTGGAGTGTTTGATTAAATAAAATACCCAGGCAGGTGATTAGTTTTGGAGGGGCTGATGGTTAGGCCCCACTTCTTAGTAGCACACTCCAGGTCAAACTGCAGCACCTCCAAGTTCTCTGAGTGAGCAGCAATCACCACATAATCAGCATTAATATAATATCTGACCAATAGGGAACCAACCCTCGATTGCATCGATCAGCCTCCCATTGAGTGTATACTATATGGAGATTCCTGGGGTACAGCCATGGAAATCTCGAACTACGTGGTCGAGAAAAATGTTAAATAATGTATGAGCCAGAGGACATCCCTGTCCCACTCCAAGGTGAATAGGGAATTTCTCTGACTCCCGGCCACATAGTTTTACCCGGCCTGCCCACCATCATGAAGGTCTTTAATGATTGTGAGCAGAGAGTCAGGGACCCCAAAAACATGTAGAACAACCCAGAGCCTAAATCTATTTATGGTATCATAGGCCTTTACCAGGTCAAAACAGCAGAGATGTAGGTCCTGTTGGAATTATCTACATTTCTGCTATAGCAGAAGGACAGAAAATATGGTGTCTGTGTAGTACCATCCTGGTCAGATACCACATTGGGACTCTGCAAGCCTCACCTCAGCGTGCCTAGCAAGGCGATGTTGAATAATCATTGCCAGGACCCTTCCCGGCACACTGAGGAGGGAGATGCCCCTGTAATTGTTACCATCTGTGCGGTCCCCCTTCTTCAAGAGGGAGTCCACAAGAGCATCCTTCGAAGCTTGCAGAACCCGTCCAGTGGTCAAGACCGTTATTATGATGTCATGTAGGACAGTCTGCACACAAACGCCACCCTCCCTCAGCATTTCGCTTGGGAGATCATCTCTGCCAGGCGATTTTCCTGGTCTCAGACTCTGAATCGCCTTCTGTACTTCCTCAACAGATTGCACTTCAGCCAGCGACTCACAGGAGGTGACTTCTTCCAAAATTTGAGGTACCGCAGCCTCCGCAGAGTCATCCCTACTTGGCCCCATGATATTTTTTGGGGCTCAAGGGTTTCCACTTCCCCCAAGATCTCACAGAAATGCTTAGCAAACCTGCAAACCTGTTCCTGGGGCTCAGAAATCGGATCACCTTTCTTTCCCTTAAGGATGATAGCACTGGTCTACAATTTGTTAGGCGTCATCTGTTTTAAAGATGAAATGTGCTGTTTATTATGGATGTTGATGTGCTGAATTCAAATATGACAATTAAAACAACTGATATACATTTATATATATTGTGTAGAAAGTAGAGTTTTACTCATAAATTGTAAACCTAGGTATTTTCAAGTGTTTATGATTGCTTTACATGATAACATGTTACCTGTCCTGTTAATGTAACACTTGAAAAATCAGCAAAGGGTTATAAAAATATAATGTATTAGCCGTGATAGCATTTCTACATTGTTGCAATGTCCTCGTGAAATCGCTCGCCATGCTCGTCGCTCACTGCTCCGCAGTTCGGTGGGAAAAAAATCTAAATGATAGTGACATGTTGCAACCAAGGCTTTTGTATGTCTTAAGGAGGTTGTCCACCAACTCCGTGTAGTTGTCTGCCTTGTTGTTTCCGAGAAAATGTGTTGCCACTAACTGGAAGGCTTTCCATGCCGTCTTTTCCTTGCCATGCAGTGCACTGTCAAATTCATCATTTCGAAGAAGTTCACGAATATGAGGACTGGAGGCGCCATGCAGAAGTAACAATTGCTGATATGATCTGTTGCCTCTCTCCAAATAATTGGCACCGCAAAAGGAATATATTTTATTTCCTGTTCAACCACTAGCGAAGATGTGTTGCACAAGTGTTGCAGCATATATATGTGTGGGGCCCGCATCTTGTCCTGATCTCCAATTTTGCAGCCAAAATAAAGGTGAGAGGCTTTCTTAACCATCGTGGTTATACTCCACCTTTGTGATGCCAAAGTCATTTCACCACAAATATAACAGAAGTTATCTGTTTTGTTCACACAAGTACGATGCATCGCTGCTCACTTTGGTTTAACAGAAATGGGTTCCAATTGAAAAATCAAACACTGAAAAATAAGAAATCACGACACTGTATGATTTATAGAGCTGATATAGGGCATTTTTTTCAGCAGAGGGATGTAAGCCTAGTTATAATTGCATCATCCATCACTTGTAGGAATAACATGATGCAATTCATATCATGTATGATGCAATCTCAGGTTCAGATTGTGGCATTCATTGTTTTTTCTCAAAAGTACTGTCCAAACCCAGTCAAAGGTGTATTTTAGTCATTTCTGGTTTAAATTGAGATCCCTTCCCTTTATAACTTACTTATCCTCTGCCATTCCCAAGTCAAGGTCGTATATACTGATCCATTAGCATATCTTGAAAACTAGAACCAATCAACAATTTTAAGCGTAATTTTCATTCTCAGTGACCCAGAATTAACAAAGTTGGACTACATTTATTTCGGAAGCATTTTGGCTGTAGACCGGTGTAATAGGTGTGGCACTGCAAGTGCATTTGTTGATGGAATAAAAGAGTGATTTGTGATCATGGGCTACTGAGGCAGATTCCATCTCCTCAGCAATCTGCTTCCACCATTCATCCTTGCAGTGCCGTGTGGCTCTTTGAACCTCTGAGTGAAGGCTGCAGTATATCTCCTAATCCACCGATGTGGAATGCTGGAGACAGCGGGAATGGGCCTTTTGCTTTTTCTCACCCAGCCAGAACACCTCCTCCATCAGCCAGGGTCTCTGCGGAGGTTTGGACTGCTTACCCAAAACACCCATTGCAGCTGCATGAGCCACAGTCCTAAACATCGCCCATTTCCCCTTGGCATCAGAAGGAGGGGGGTGGGGGGGAGGACGATTCCAATCCCAGCTTGTGTTGCAATCGAAACGTCGCATGCTATATTTTAATTATTTTTTCCTTTCTACGTGACTTTACCGAAAGAACCAAAGAGTCATCCCCATTTTACCAAGCAAAGCCCACTGAGGTATGAACTTATTTTTCAGAAGCTACCTGGCCACAAATGACAGCTCATCAAAGTGTCTTGTCATTTGGACATTTATAGCAGCAATGTCTCCTCCTCGACACCCACATTAAAGGGAAATGGAACAGATGGAGAATAATCCACACACGTTGCTTGACTGTCTTCGCCTGACGAGCCAGGGTACGGATCCTTCTCGACGCCCATGGGAAGGGGCGTTTTTGAACATCTGTGTGCGTGATCCACAAACCCCCACTGCTGCCTCCACACTGCTGGATGATTATAGGCCATGTGCAGCGTAGCCACCGCCACTCGGCTCAGGTGACCGTGAGCATAACAGAGAACAGCTACCACAAGCTCACTCAACAAGCAGAGACGCATGTTGAAGATGCAATAGCACAGGCACAACTCTGGAGCGGTTTCTCCATTGAATGTCTCATCACTAGAGCCAGATTCTGCCAGGCGGTTATGGGCGAGTTTACATGAGCAGTTGTAACTTTTCTCTTTGTTAGGTGTGGGTCCTAGTTCGATACAAAGCTATATACAGTAATACATATGTAATGCCATTGTGAGGCGGTATGGTTATCACCATTGATTCTTACCTGCAGTAGCGGACATGTGCCAACAGAGGGTGGTAGACAGGATACGTGAGATGAGTCGGCCCATTGGGCCACCAGGGACCCCAGACTCCAAGAGGGGGGCTGGGGGGGATGCCGTTACATTCCAGGGCCCCCGAGAGAGTTCGAGAAGGAAAGAGTGGCTAGGGGCGGAGAGACTCTGGAACGGGTATAAAAGCCGGACCTCTGAACGGGTCCGGCAGTCATCGTCCACCTGAAGAGCTGAAGACCTGGAGATCTCAAGAACCACTCTGAAGACCTGAAGCGAAGAGCCCAAAGGGCAAAACCCGAACCCCTGGCTAGGTCGGGCTCAAAGCTTACCAGTCTAGGGTAAAGTTATAACCAGAGTGATGGCACATTTGTCCAGAGGGGCTACCTCCTTAGGGTATCTGGTGTAAGGGGCCATTACCCCTTGTGTTATGTACTCTTAGTTATAATAAACGTGTTGCCTCCAGCAAGTCTCGCTCTCCCTGCTTACCCACTACACATATAACAATTATAGACTCATACAGAGAGCCTGGGAGACTCACATAGATAGCCATAGACTCACGGAGACCCATAGACTAACAGGGACTCAGACTCACAAAGAGACTGATAGACTCACACAAAGACCCATAGACTAACGGAGACCCAGGCGTGGTTCGTCCACTGGGCATTGGGACGCCACCCCACCTAGCAGCTGGAGATGAGAAAATATTTTTTTCTCTAAAAATTACCATTCTATAAAAATTGTATTGTGTTTAAAAATCGATATTATGATTCTTTCAACGTGAATTGCCTAATGAAGATAACATGTAAGTTGTTCGTATTAGATACCGCTGCAACACCAGTCTGATGTGTGCCTCGGGGAGGTCTCGGGCAGCTGTGAAGGCGTCCGAGTGAGATGATTTCACGACGCTAGGTTGCACTGTGGAAATATAGGAGCCTTTATGCTCTAGGCTTTTGGTAGTTGTGTAGTGTAGACTTGAGGGTCATGGGGACATAATTTGAGTACATTGTTGCTTTGTTTCGTATTGTTTATAAATGCCTACCGTTGGTAGATATGATGGTTATATTACTTTCACGGGAAGGCCAATAACATGACGAGTTTTTTTTTTTTATTAGAACACCGCCTTTCCAGAGGTCACTCACAACAGCCCCACCTAGTGGAAATGTTACCAGTCGCCACTGCAGAGACCCATCGACAGAGACCTATAGACTCGTACATAAATCCATAGACACACAACCATAGCCTCACAAGCAGACCCATCGACTCACAAAGAGACCCATCGACTCACAGAGATACCCATAGACACACAAAGACCCATAGACTCCCACAGAGACCCATAGACTAAGAGACCCATAAACTCAAAAAGAGACCCATAGACTCACACAGAGACCCACAGACTCGCACAGAGACCCATAGACTAAGAGACCCATAAACTCACAAAGAAATCCATAGACTCGCACAGAGACCCATGCATGGGCTTACGCACAGCGAACCACAGACTCACTCTAGGCGAGTTTGCTGCCCAGGTGTTCGGGGCGCCTATGCTGGGCTTGCCCTCACCTGGTGCAGGGTCAACATGAGGCGACCGTAGCAGAAGACGATGATGAGCAGCTGCAGGGCGAAGCAGAAGACGAGGAATGACAGGATGTAGGCGCGGCCCGACACTGACTCGTCGGCCCAGTCTGGCGCGCATGAGGTCCCCACGCCCTCGGGGCCATAGCGGCCCCAGCCCAGCAGCGGGGGCACGGTCCAGGCGAAGGCCCAGAGCCAGGCGACAGCGAGGCCGAGGGCTGCGTGGCGCGGCGTGAAGTGAAGGCCGCCCAGGGGACGGCACACCACCACGTAGCGCTCCACAGAGAGCACGCACACCGAGTCCAGTGCCGCTATGCCTGTGGTAGTGGTGGTGATGGGGAGCGAGCTTATTTTAGTGATTCCAACAACAACGAGCGGAGCTCCGGGTGGCTAAAACACAGCAAGTTGGCAAAGTGGGGGGTACAGCTGGTGCATCTACCGGCCATCTCAGTCAGCCAACCCATGGCACCTGGGTCTGTCCCGAGACCTCGACACTTCACGTGGCCTCAAAGTGTACCTGGTTTGGCGCATGCGCCGCAGTGACGCCACTGTTACTTAGTGGGAAATGGCAGCTATTGGTATTGGTGGGGAGCGCTCACGGCCAACACCGGCGACGATTATCAGAATTGGCCCTGGGCCTCCCCTAGGTCGACTCATCCTCAAATGAGTACCTGGTGTAGTGTGTAAACATCACCACTGTGGAGACAAAGGCGGCCGGGCATGGTGCTGGCCACCCACCCCCCTCGTCTGTCATGCCGGCCTTCATATATGCTCGCCTCGACAGTCTGTTAAGGCTACACGGGGGATCTTTGTCTTTGGTGGCCCAGAGAGCGCGAGGACAGCAAGTAGGATAGCGAAAGGCATCAGGGGGCAAGGAAGCTTAGCAAGTTTAACGCATAGTAGTAATAGTAGTTGGCTTTCGTGACCAATATTATCCATAATTGCAACGATTACAGAACAACCTTGCTCGTGTTGTCATTGGTGCCCATCGCCTAAGGCTCGACTCCGCCACGGCTCTCCATAACTCTTCGTTGGCTCCCTTTGGCCAGCGAGACAAATTATAAAGTCGTACCTGCCTATGTTATCATGCTTTCACCACCGGTTCCCCACCACTCACTACCAGAACCCTCACGTCACTATACACTGCCCTATACACTACACTACTATACACTACACTATAGACAACCCTATACACTACACTACGATACACTAATCGTTATTTGAAGCTTTCGTGACTGCAGGAATCCATATTCGTTGGTTCTTTCGGTAAAGTCACGTAGGTAGAAATAAAATAAATTAAAACAAATCACGACGTTTCGATCACAACACAAGCAATCCTCATAAGTAGGGACAACCCCCTGTTCACGTATTCACCGGGCAAGGGATTCCGTCATGGAAATCTTGTGCCCGGAACTTCATGTATGTTAAAGATATTAACGGCTGGACGGATGGGCAAACAATACAATAGCCGAATATGCATTTGGATGGGCGGGCAGCCGACTTTGTAGAAGCACTACCTGCAAGCGCGCAAGCGCAGTGGGGGGAACTAATACGCCAACTCGACCAATGCTTCGACGCGCACAATCATGAGGCATTAGATGCGTGCCGCCGCATCTAATGCCGTATTTTTACGGCAGAAAATATCTCGTGCAGTTCCTCCTCACATTGAAGGAACTGCGGGGGCAAATGGCTGACGCAGCTGCAGGAGTATAACCTGCAGATTGAGTACAGGGCTGGACGGACACATGCACACGTGGACGCATTGTCAAGGCGACCCGCGGTGTGCTCTGAGACATGATGTGGCCTGCCCGTGCCTCACGGGGGGACGCTGCCGACAGGCGATGGCCCCCCTGGAATGCCCTGAGACTAACCCCTCTCCATTGGGAGAGAGTACAGTGTGTGCCACAGAGGTCCCTGCGGAAGGAGCTGGGGGCCTGGTGGGACGCTCGGCGGGCACGGAGCCTGCACCCAGGGGCCCGACGGGCCGCTCGGCCCCACCTGGTCGGATCCAAGAGGCTGTGCGTTCCCGGGCCTGGATGACGAGCAGCTGAGACAGGCCCAGCAGCGGGACCCGGACCTGGCGGTGGTGAAGGCGGCTCTACAGGAGGAAAAGGTCGCCCTTTAGGAACCCTGGAGTGGTTTGTACGCCTGGTTATGTGTAAGGGATGTGGTGGTGCGTGAACTAACTGAAGCCGGGCAGCCGGGGTGCATCTGTGTTCCTGCCCAGGTGCGGCCCCAGCTGCTACAGCTGGTGCACGACCATCCGCTCAGGGGCCATGATGGGGAATGGCGCACTCGGGTGACCCTGCGTCGCCAGTATCTCTGGCCCAAACTGACGCAAGACGTGGCCACCTGGGTACAGGGCTGCCGCGCTTGTCAACAATGTGGGCAGAAACCGGTGTGGTATCAGGTACCCTTGAGGCCGTTCCGCGTCAGCTGGGCGAACCAGCTAGTTGGGGTCGACCTACAGGGGCCATTCCCACGATCGCACCGAGGCAACCGGTACATTCTCGTAGCGGTAGAGTATTTCACTCACTATCCAGTAGCAGTAGCCATCCCCGACAAGACAGCCCTTGTGGTTGCACGGGCATTTGTGGAGCATTACATGCTTAAACATGGGATCCCCGAACAAGTCATTATTGACCAGGGTAATGAGTTCGAGGCAGAGCTATTTCAGGCACTGTGCTGGGAGTTCGGGACCCAGAAGGACCTTACCACGGCATACCACCCCCAGGAAAATGGTATGGTGGAGCGCATGAACCAGACCTTATCCGGGAAGCTCAAATGTATGGTGGCCGCCAATCAGCAGGACTGGGATGAACACCTCCCCTACGCTCTGTTCGCCTACACAACCACGGTGCACACCTCTACTGGGCAGACCTCCTTCCTAATGATGTTTGGTCAGGAGTCTCGCCTCCCATTAGATCTCTTGTTCGGCATTCCCCCACCACAACTGGAGGAGAGAAGCCAACCCGTGGAGCACCTGATGGGGACCCTGCGAGGGGCCCGTGGCCGGGCCTACCAACAGGAGGAGGCCGCACATCAGCGGCAAGAGCAGGACGCCCGCCCCCGTGTGGACTCTAAGGTATGGCTACATACCCCACGCGTAGGGGCCGGACAGATGGGGAAGTTGACCACCTACTGACGGGGACCCTGGACCGTGGTGTGGCAGATCTCCCCCTGGACGGTACTGATCCAGGGCGAGGAAAGGGGCCGAGAGATGGTGGTCCATGTCCGCCAACTAAAACCGTGGAGGGCGGTCCCGGCGGGGGAGGCACCCACCCCTCGGGTGCCCCGAAACTCCGGGATACCCGCACCCCCCGTACCCGACTGCTTCGCGCCATACATGGGCCCCGCTGGGCCCCAGTTCCCAGCAGGCCCCGGCCCGGCAAGGAGGCGGCGGGCGTGGCGGCACTTAAACCCCTCCGCCCCTGAGTTCGTTCCACAGCCAGCAGATGCCAGAGGATGGGAGGAGCCTCTGGAATGGAGACGGAGACTACCGCCGGAGCCTTGGACAGTGGAGTCACCGCCCATGAAACCGGCAACGAGGGCCAGACGAGTCCCACAGACTCCACGGCGCTACCTGGTTGGAGCGGCCCAGGCGAGGTGCTCCAGTCAACCCGGGACGGGGACGGACACCTCGGAGGGATATATGGTGCCATGACCGCGGAGCAACTCCGCAAACGCCTCGATCCCCTCCTGGCCCCCGCACTGAACACACGCCCGCACGCAGCGCACCCATGTAGTGTCCTGGCAGGGGGTTGCCTGGCACATCGGGTTTTAATCTGAAGGGCCCCTAGAGGGAGAGTCCCACGATTTCCCGGTGCCAGGAGATTGGCCGACCCCCACAGGACAGGTTACATTGCGGTGCCCCTAAATTGGCTTAAAATTGTATGGGCGCAAAAAGAAAAGGTTCCCTGGGCCAACCGCAATGAGCCACTCACAACATTGGGGGGAGGACAGAGGGTGGAATATTAGGCGTAACGAGCAAAACCAAAGGCTCGAACTACTCGGCACGGGAGAACAATGGGTGGAGGCTTAACAGACGCTCCAGGTGAGGGCGGGGCATCAGTTGTAAATCATAAGGTAGGCAAGTGATTGGCTGCACGATTCGACGCCCCTCCGGGACTTTGAAGTTGAGAGTATAAAGGTGGGAGCCCCGGGACGATTGGGTCAGTTGTCTACAACCTCCGGGCCGTCACGACCCACTCCATGTCTGCCGTCCTGCCTCTTCAAGCCACTCACAGCATCCTTGTGATGCCAGCGAGTGCTGCTGCGAGACAGTTATTGGGCATGTCTTCTCTCGTCCTTTTCCCTCCGACCCTCACAGCGTCCGTGGGACGCCGTGAGGCCAGCTTTAAGGTATGTGGCAGGAAGTTTGTGTAGCCGGGCTCATAAGCAGGGTTAGGCTAGGCTCCCCTCGTGAAATATTCCTCCTCCGGGTAATGTGTATTGATGCCATTAATAAACTCTAGTTCAGAATATCGGTGCAGTGTGATTTCTGTGTGTGTGGGCAGAACCTCGGCATAGCGTTTGTGATCTGTGTGTGGTGCGTCTGCATGGGGTGGCGGTGTGCCCGGCGAGAGAGCGAGCGTAGGGCTGCAGCGTGGGTGTGGTGTGAGTGATTTGAGCGTCCATGTGAGGCGCGTGTACTGCAGCATATACGGCCGCCATAATTTGCGCGTCTTTATGCTCATGTGCGTGTTTACAGAGCGCGCCTTACCCAGCGAGTTTACACCGCGTGTTTATATTATGCTGGCCATTTTGGAAGCACGCGCCTATAGATATTCATACCGCCGCCGTTTCTTTGCAGTTTACATTAGCATTTGCATGCAAGCGGAGCCGAGTGTGTGCCGTGTCCGGCGAGTTGAGAGGTGTGCCCACCGAGGGGGATCCTAAGCGGGGGCCTGTCGATTCATCCCCAGATGCCGCGTGATTGACGCCCCTCCAGGTACCACCACCTGCTGCTCCTCTGGCTCCGGGTGCCAAAAGCTGCGCCGCCCAGCCGGTGGCTCCCGGTGCAGAATCAGCTCCTCCGGAAATCTTGCAGGTCCCCCCCCGGGCCCTCCCCCGGGGGACCGGCCATGCGGACTCGCTCTAAAACTTTACGGTTCACATAACCCCTGGTCACACGCGGGTACGCATATCCATACCGCCACCGTTTATTTTGATTAGCACTCGGCGTGTGTGGGGTAACCTCGGCGGTGGTAAGCCAGCCATTCAGATATGTCCCTCAGAGAGGGCGCTGGCACTGGGGGGCCGATCACTCGATCGGCGGTGGCCCGGCGAGAGGAGGCCCATGAGGAGGGGGGAGCGG